TATTAAAATCATTGTATTGATCAATTTAAAAAATTTTGAAATTTTGAATTCGAATTTAAATGTAAGCTTTAATAGTTGTAACAGAATAGGAAGCATCACAGATGTCAATTTAGATTAATGAAAAGTTGAAATTTTTCCAATAAAATTTTATTAATGAAAAAAGATTCATGAAATACAATAATAGTAATATAGATATTTTATACAATATGTTATATAAGAGATCACTATAAATAGAATAGCTTTAAACAAAATAATCAAATCAAAATTTGTATTTGTAAACAGCAAGAGTGTTATATGCTAATATTATGTGTAACTACTCATTGGATAATGAATGCAATATAATACATTGATTTATTGGCTAAAGAAAAAAAAATATATCCTTCAATTTGGACAATCCGAAATTTTTCTCATTTTTTTGAATTGCATATATATGAATTTGCAATTGAGTGATATCAGCGAGAAACTTATATGCACGTTTAACTTTATCAGATTTCAAATGAAAACATGGATTTCATTGATTGTTTTTCAATACGAGCTCAACAAAAATGATACAAAGATGAATAAATAGTAGTGCCCCTAAAAACAAGGTCAAAAACAAAAAATTAGCAACAATATACTTAATTTCGGCCAATATGGTGAAAAGTAAATATGTCAAAAACACTTACTCCATCATCTTGTTATCTGTACCTCACGACAGACGAATATAAAGAGATATCAATTTCCAAAATTTTACCAAAAAGAGATTAGGCCTAATTTTACGGCCAATCTTTATTATTTGTTACACAGATGCTAGATCCACTACTCCCCAAAACAATTCATTTTTTGAATGGCCCTGTTTTTTAGGCCTTCATTTTATGAAAAATGCCAATATTATACGAATCTTAATATATTTATTTTTTTGTTCTCAATAAAGGTATTCAAAAGTCAATATAAACCATTCAAAATTGAGAGGAAATTCATTGAGAGGCTCGGAATTCGAGTAGTGAGGAAGGGTAAATTTTGAGAGCCAAAATTTCAAAGCCCCTCAATATTTCAAACCCCTTCTACTTAGATTTTGTGACTACCTTATATAGCGCATCTATCGGCGCGCTGCTTCGCCGCGCGCCGATATAAGCTGAAAAATTTCAAAAAATAAAAAATAAAATGAAAAAATACAATTTTTATTATAAAATCTCAAAATTGTGATTTTTTTTGGAAAAAAGAATGTGTTTTATAATTGATGTTAATGCAAAATATTTCTTTATGTTCCCGAAAAACCTCGATATTTCTTGATTGCAAAATTTAATTTTAAAAAACTAATAATTTCTTATCTAAAGAAGAACTATTTGTGGTTAAAATCCAAAAACAGATAGATTTACCGAAAAAAAATAAACATAAAATATTTATATTTATTAAATACAATTATTTCGAAGATACTACTTGAATTTTATGTAACCCAAAAGTAATCTTCTTCTTGTAGGGGGTAAAACAAGTTACAAGTAATAAAAATCAAGAAATTTTATTGCTGGTTGTGCGTTTGCACTAATATTTATTTGATAACTGTATGTCGTTCATTATGATAACAGCTAATTTACCAGTCAACTATTGGGTAATGCCGATTTTTGATGAAATGCAATTCGTTTCTAAAAATTGGCAAGACGGATTTTTTTCATTTTCTGTGTACTTATTATATATTTGTATGCGATTCATCTCCATGATTCTCAAAGAGAAAGCGCGTTCTCAAAAATATTTCATAAATTTAATTTTTTATGGTAGAGATTTTCCGAAAGGGTTATAAGTGTTTTCGAATTTTAGTAATATTGACTGATTAAATGATGAGAAAATTGATAGGTTGCAAAAAATCAAAATATGTTCTTTTTTGTAAAGTTTAGTTCATGCAACAAACATTGCATTCTCTTAAAAGTATGCTAATGCTTAGCTTACTCTAAAATCTTGGTTATATTCAAAGGGTATTACGAGTTGTGAAGCTAACAAATGCTCCTTGATTTTTTAGAATTTAAGGTTAAAAGTGCCCGTACCTTTAATTTTTTTATTAAAAATATTTTTATTTTTGATCAAAAATTTCGAAAAAGAAAATATCTCTTATCATATGTAAACACATTTTTAATGTTTAATTTTTGAATTCAATTCTCAAATTAAATGTGACATTTAAGGGTCCACTGTAAGGCCAAATAAGGTCTATCGTCATCCCAAAAATATTGCTCGAGATGGTGTTTTACTAAGGCCCAAAACTTAAAAAAACACAAAAAAATTAACTTTACTCTTTTGAGATCCTTATCAGATATGCATCAATTTGATGCAGTATCGCAGTTCAAATCTGATTTTTTAATGTAGATGTACTCTAACATCCTTTAAAAAATGCAAAATGATATTAATTAAGCTTTTCATTTCTGTATCATACACGAAACAAAATCGTTCATTATACTAAAATTTATCAAAGTTTGATTAATGAAAAAATAATATCTAAATTTTTACATTGAGTCGGCTATTGATATGGTTAATATTAAATCTTGTAAAAATTGGCATTATCCAGAATAATACCCACTAAAATACACAATTTTTTTAAAAAAATTTTATCAATTGTTATGGTATATCTTTATGATAATGAATAAAATGCTTATTTTTCATAAGTAAATACATAATTTATGCTTAAACACAAAAAATAACACGAAAATTTTTGGCCAACATATCTAAACTAAGGATAATGGTTTGAATATATAAACAATAATACTTTGTCCAGGGAATTAAATTTGTGCTATCCAATTGTCAATTCTTTGAATTTTTTTTAAATGCAAGATATCCCGGCATTAGCCTCAATAAATATATATTATGCATCATAATATTAGTTTGTAATGGCATTAAAGCGAAATTCCTAATTTCTTCTCAATTAAATTCCTTGAAAAACATTGGAATTAATGATTGGAAATAGGTCAAAAAAATTCCTAATATAAAACTTATACTTAAGATAAAATTAAAATTCGAAAATATCTATTTTTCAAAACACGCATCCAAAAGCGAAAAAATTCGAAAAAAATCATGTTCTTATAAAACTCACTGATTTTGCAATTTTTATGAGATTTGAAGTGATAGAATATATTACCATCTTATTGAAACATATGCTTCATTGTTGTATTCACATAATATTAATCAGAACACTAGGAAAAGTGGATTTTTGAAAAATGATGATAACGATTATTTGCAAATTGCCTCTCAATTTTGAGAGACTTTCAATTTTTACAGTGGACCCTTAAAATTATGACAACAATAAAATGCGAAGATGAAGAGTTTACCCTTTCTCCAGCAGAACTTTCATATTTTCAATTAATAAACAATATGTCTCAAGATATTGAAGTAAACGAACCAATTAACATCCCAATTACAAAAGAAATCTTCTCCACGATCTTGGATTATGTTAAAAAATCTATCCACCCTAACGAAAATAACTGGGCAAATAAGTTTTTAATTGAAAATGAACCCATGCTCGGATCAATACTTCAATGTTCTCAGTTCTTAGGTGTAACGAATCTTTCAAACATTATCACTAATCACATACTTAATTTCATTAGTAATTGCAAAGATATTAATGAAATGGAGCATAAATTAAATCTTGAACATAATCTTTCAGATAGCGAAGTCAATCACGTCCAAAATAAACTAGCATGGACCGATCTACAATAGAGTAAAGCAATGTTTATTATATTTAGTTTTTGAAAATAAGTACCATAAGATTTTTTTTAAAATTGCGAAATAACGTATTTTTTGCTGGTCTACCTTTAACCAACAGTCACAATATTTAGAATAAAAATAAAAAAGCTAGAAAGCATAGTTATTTATTCTAAATTGAGAGGCATTTGCTTACGCAAATGCCAAAGATGGCCTTAGGCCATCTTTGTGTAACATTAATTAGAAAAAATATTTGAATTTAAATATACTGATTACACGATTTGCTCGATGAGGCATAGAAATGAGTCATGATGAATTTCCGTTGGATATAGACATATATGGGCGAATAATTTTAAAGTATAGATCTACTTGAGTGGAGAAATATGTTCGATCTCATATAAAGTGTTCGAACAATAAATTTTTTTCTGAGAAAAAGTGTTCTTGATGAAAGCTATGTTGGCTCAAAATTGAGTTGATTAGAATCCAAATTTTCGAAATTCGAAATTTGTTTGTAAAATTACGATATCGTAAAATTTACACTTTTATTACGTTTTTATACAGGCGTGAAGCCTGTTAAAAATGCAATAAAAGTGTAATTATTATACTAATGATTATTTTTAATTCTAAACAGCATTTGAATCAAAAATAATCGTATGTTTGATAATTTTTGGTTGATGTCCAAGGGAGAAACTAACCAAACTCATTATGACAAATTGATGGAGATTTTTACAGGATATAATGATGTCTACAATGCTTTGTACAGGCTGAAAACAAATGACGAAGAAAAATTAAACGCAATATACAAAAAAATCAAACAAAACCTGATTGACTCTTATCAAATTCAGCCTGATATGATTATCAATGATATATCCGAACTTTCAATTTAGAACAACCGCTACATGAAGTCATATTTAGCGATTGCCAAACAAATTGTTGACGAATACCATCTAAATCTGGTCAACAAAATCAGCAAAGTTTTTAATTACCTTTTCTACAAAGAATACAACATAGTATTGAATGAAAAATGGAAAAAAAGTTTTAACGATTTTGAAGATTCTCATTATTCATCTGATATTCACGAACAAAAGACGATTCACAGATCTATTATGGATGATGACAAAATATCATTAATAAATTTTACAGAAAAAGAAGAGTTTGATAAAAATCAAAAATTAAAAAGTGATTTATATCCATATTCAAATGAAGGTCTTTCGTTACTTTGATTATGTTGTTATCATGGATCTGTTGATTGTTTTAAGTTTTTAATAACGAAATTTCAATCAGAAATCACTCCAAATTGTCTTAGATTTTCGTTTTTGAGTGGAAATCAAGACATTATGAATGAATGCTTGAAAGTACAAAAACCAGATGATGTATGCATGAAATATGCAATTATATCACACAATATCGATTTTGTCACATTTTTGATGAATGAACATAACAAAAAAATTGATTTAGAATTGTGTTCTCAATACAATAATCTTCAATCATTTTTAGTTTACTTGGATCAAACAAATGACATCAACACATGTTTTGTTTATTCTCCGAATTTCCATCTTTCATCAGTTTTAGGATATTTTATTTCAAATGGCGCAGATATCAATGCTAAAACTAAAAATGGATGTACCCCTCTTCATTATGCAGCCAATAACAATAGTAAAGAAACAGCCGAAATTCTTATTTCAAATGATGCAGATATCAATGCTAAAACTAAAAATGGATGTACCCCTCTTCATTATGCAGCCAGAGATAATAGTAAAGAAACAGCCGAAATTCTTATTTCAAATGGCGCAGATATCAATGCTAAAGACAAAGATGGACGTACATGATCAAGTAATATTTTGAGTATGATCATATTATGTGCATGTATATATACTTTTATTGCACTTTTAACATGCTTCGCGACTAAAAATATTAATTTTCTATTCTTATCAAGAATTCATTAATATAACAATGATCATATCATCAAGGTTCAGATGCTCATTTTTAATTTTATATGTATAAAATAACACATGTAAATCCAAAAATATCATCTAAATTTGAATCACAATTTGAAATATACTAAATTTCAAAGGGAAACATTTTATTTATATGTTACTTAACACTCATGTGCTTATTCTCAAAAATATTCGGAATAATTTTATGATTTTTAACTTTGAATTTTTATTATGATTTTGTTCATTCACATGAATACATTCGTACAAACTATCGTTGTATGATAATTTAACATTTTTTGTGATTTTATCGTATTATTTGCTTGTAAGTTTAATGTAATGTAGAGTTTGTTGCTCTTGAAGGTCTTAGGAACAATTGCATCGATCTTGGATCCAGAAATACTGCAAACAAATATGGAATTTTCTTGTGATCTGTAGAAAAACCAAATATATCAAATATTATTCAATGATTCGAATTGTGTATGAAGGACCAGTGATTCAGCCTTAGGCATATTATAGCTCATAATTTTTTTTTTGCATTTTGCGATATCTTTCAGAATCTTATTGCTTTCTTCGAGATTTGAAGATGACAGTTTGAGAATTGTTTCATCTTTTGGACATTCGCTTATTCTAACAACAACTTGATGTTGACTTTCGACTAGTTTAGACATTCGTTGAATTAATGAATCTCTATCAACCATTGTTGATGAAATTTGTTTCAATCTTGCTGAAATCTGAGTGAGTTTTAACAAAGGTGAAGCCCCTTCAATAGGTTTCAAGTTCACTGTTTTAACTGGAAGATTATCAATAACAGTAAGTACTTCGTCGATTTTTTTGGAGATTTTTTCATCGACATAAGGTTTTTCATCGAAATCTTCATTCACAGAACTTATTGTTAATGTTACAACGCGCCCTAATGTTTCTATTTCCTGAAGACCGAAATGCGAGAACAACTCATTCAAAGGACTTTTCAGTATTTCAAGAATTGTTTGACTGTTTTGTTCCATTGTGTTTTGATTAGTTAATATTGAATGGAATACAGCCATTTTAGTTGTAACACTATTTAATGTGTCTACTTTCTTTGCCATCATGCCTACAAGCTCTTTAAGTGATTTCCTTTCTTTGTCAAATCTTGCTTTTTCATCTTCATAATCCGCTTTATCATTTGCTTTCTTTTCTTCCAAAAATTTGATTTTGGCAAGTGATTCATTGAGTTGTTTCTCTTTTTTGCGCATTTCTTGCCTCAAATTAGTTAATTCAACAATTGACGTGTCAAAGGAGTTTATACAATCAAAAGAACGAAAGGTTGAGAAGTTATTTCTTCAAATTTTTGGCCATCTGTTGCAATTTGTCTCTGCAATTTTCGAATAAAATCTTCTTTGTTTTGGATTTTGTCTTTCAAGTCATCGATTTCTTTCTGTTGGGTTTCTATTTTAGACAAGAACTCTGACATCTGTTGTTCTCTTATTGTTCCTTGGTCAATTGCTGTTGATAAAACTTTCTTTTCTGCAATTTAATGAAGTCTGCTATTTGCACCATTAGAAGCTCATGTTTGTAAATTTTGACACAATTTTGCAAATTTATTTCCAAAAATGATTCCACGAAAATTTTTGCCAAAGTTCTCAATTTTGAATTTATCGCGAGAAACCGCCAGACTGTTGATATTTAATAATTTTACGTTTGGCCTAATTACATTACAAACATATTTATTATAAAACAAAATATCAAAATTTACATTTAATAAATTTTTGAACTTTATCTAACTGAAATATCCAACTCCTAAGAAAAGCTTCTGTTTCTGTAGTACTTGAATTAATTATATGAATTTCATTTCTTACTAATCGCTTTAGCCAAATCATTGAGTATATTGCTGATCTTTGACTTTCAGTCATTTTAAATCGAGTATCAAATTTATATCGATAGTTCAGCTCATCATATTCATCCTTCTTTCTGTACAATGATGCGATTGACTTTGAATTCTTTAATTGAAGAAATTCAACTTTGGATTTCAAATCTTTTACAATTTTCTTCTTGTTTATAACGACTTTATGCCGTTCAATTGTCATGTTATGCAGTTCTACCTTTAAGTCAGCAGAATTCCTAGATTTTACAGATTTAGATAAATTTTGATTAACTTCCGAAACTGCGTTGAGAAATATTTGATCTAATTGGGATCCATAGAAAATCACATCATTTTTAAGTGATTCATTCTTCTGAAACATCGCTGTTATCTCTTGGGAAAGTTTCGCAGATGTATCATAATTTCTTTTTATCGAATCCTCAATTTTTTTAAATATCGGTAACTTCTCTTCTTTATACATTTTCTTTTCTAGCTTTAGAGAATATTTTATTGGTTTGATCGAAGTCATTCTGTTTGATTCATCAATAAGCTGAATTTTTCTGGACTTAAGCTTACATAATGTATCGAGAGAGAGAATTAAATTATTGTCGTCTGAATGGTCCTTTGATATTTCAGAAATTTCTCGTTTGATTTTTTTTAATTGTTCAGAAATCGATTTTCTTTCACCTTCAAGTTTAGTAACATATTCCATATAAGCAACTACATCATTTTCATACTGCTCAGTTATACTTTTATGCATCTTTTTCGTTGAATTAATTGAATTTTGTATCGATGTGACAGTATTAGCAATTTGATTATTTTTTACTGATAATAATATAATGCTATCAAGCGTTTTCTTCCTTTGGGATTTATAATTTGAGATTTCGGCTATGAGAGATTGATTTTTTTTTGTTGATTCTGTGCATAATGCTTTCCATTGATTAAACTTTTGAACAGCTTCACTCTTGACAGTTTGTACTGTATTTAGCTGGTTTTTCAGATTAGTGCGCTCATTTTGAAATTGCAACTCAATTTCGGTAATCTTTTGTTTTAATTCAGATATTTTGGATTGGATATTGATTCTCACTGCACGACGAGATTTTATCAAATCATCTGACTTCTTGATTAAGTTATTTAACAATTCAATTTGAGAAAGTGTAGTGTTTAAGAATTTGTTGCTATCAGATTTACCCTTTAAGTCAATATGATGATCTTCTAATGATTGCAAATTCTTTAAAAATGTATCATATCCATTAATTTGAGAATCGACTTCAAGAATATATTCATTTATTGCCGAAATACGTGAATCGTAATATTTAATTCTTTGATTTAAATTTGTTAGTCTGTTTTCAAGGATTGATTCGTTGTTATTATAATATTCTTCTGAAATATCTTGATTAACTTGAAAAACGGAAAGATTACTGATCATATCTTCAGATTTTACATTTAATAATACAGATTGTGTATATACATTATACGGATTCGTTTTTTTTAAAATGCTTGGTTCCGCAATGAACGAACTTGCATGGTGGAGCATGCCTTCTCGCTTAGCCTCAGTAATTTCTTTGCCAATCACAACATCCGGACCTTGATAGCTCAGTGACATTACATCATTAATCATTGAGCACAATATTCAAAGTGGTCATTTTTCTACTATTCTATTATCTTTCATAGATTATTCTCAATAGGTACTACTCAGTTCATAAGTAATTTTCATTTCTTACATGAAAATAAAAATAATTAGAATTCTTTTAAATTGAAATAAAGCATATTTATACATAAATATAAATATATTATATATTTTTACTTAAGGAAGAATTGATTTCAAGAGAGGATGATCACGATGGGCATATGAACCTTGTGTACCTACACCTGTGACAGAAATAGCAGCAGTAATGCATGCAACTTTTGCTGCTTCTTCATAGCTGCAGCCTTTAGCGAGGCAATAAGTAAATGAGCCGAGGAATGAGTCACCTGCACCGGTTGTATCAACGACATCAACTTTGATTGATGGAACATGAACCGGCTGTTTTCCACGTTCAAGAATGGTCGCACCCTTTGCGCCTTGTGTCTGAACAACACATTCAACTCCGATATTGAAAAGGTCTTCAACAGATCCAAATGAAGCTAACTCGACCTCGTTCACAATAACAACTGAAGCATCTTTAAAGAGATTGATATCACGTTGCTCTGGAACAGGTGAAACATTCAAGATTGTCTTTGCTCCACCATTACGGCTTATTTTGAGAACTTCAAGAGCAGTTTCAATTGGAATTTCGAAGTTAGTAACAACAAGCTTGCTATTGGCGAGCTTGTCTTTCATTTGATGTACCATGTCTATTGTAACAGGACATGGATGAATTACAATTGCAGACTCACCACCATCAAGAACAAAGCAGAGTGCAAGTCCGGATGGAGCTTCTTTCGAGACTTGAACATATTGAGGAGAAACACCAATTTCTTTAAAATGATCTACAATGACTTTGCCATCAGAGTCATTACCTACAGCTGTAAGAAGGTTTGGTTTAAGAGTACTATCTGAAAGGAATGCGAATTGTGCACATGCATTTGGTGCTTTCCCACCAAAACCACAGTTCAGAGCAATTCCATGAATTGTTTCTCCAAGATTTGGAAGTGCATGACAACGAGAATATAAATCTATACTACAAATACCAACAAATGTAGTTTCCATAAGTAAATTTTGTAAACTTATCAATTCATTTGACGTGTTTATATATTAAATTTAAGGATGTCAATTTGGAAGAAAAGTGAGAAAATTCCTAAAATGCTAAAAATGAATTTTCCAAACGTATTTTTTTATCTGATTTTTTTGATTTTGAAAAAAATTTGGAGAGAAGAACTCTTCGTTTTTGAATTTTATCACGATGGTTTTAAAGTATATTAGACACATGTATTGGTATTACTATTTTTGTATATTTTGAGAGAAAATCCCTAAAAAGTGAGAAAATCTAAGACGGTTTGAGAAAATATATAAACTATTGAAAATTTGAATTAAACTTCTAATTTGGAAAGAAGAAAATTCAAAAATCGAGATTTAGACTCAGCATCAAATGGAGAACAAAATGTTTCTTCATATGAAGGAAAAAAATTTTCTTGTGAAGAAATAGAGTTTTTAAAATTTTATTGTATGTAATGAAATAAACAAATATTAAAATTATTTTTTGATAACAAGAAAATTCCCAATAGAAAATATTTGAGAGAAAGAAAAAAGAAAATTGAAAAATATTACTCTCCTTTATATTTCATGAGATTTTAAATTTATTCTCATAAAATTGACAATTTTATACGTTTAGATGAAAATAAGTGATTTTGGTTGAAATAGAAATTATTATTTGCTTACAGCTATCAAATAGATTTTTGCTATTTTGATTAAAATTTGTTAATCAAATTAATAAATTTTTTCTAAATATCTTAAATATCTGGATCACTCACATATACAATGAATTGAACGATAAAAATAATACAAACTCAACTAAGTTTCCTGTCTTTCAACTAAAAAAAATTATGCAAATTAAATTAAATTGTTTATTCAAATATAAAACAAAGATGAAGTAATTACAGTTATCATAAACTTTATGAATAACTCTGTAATTGGTTCAGATTTTCGTAAAAATATTTTTATTAATATCGATAAGAATACGTTTACCTACTATCACAACATATCGATAAACAAGAGTAGAGTGATTTTTATCATCGAAACTTTTTAAAAGCTGTAAGCTGGAAGGAAAAATCTTGTTTTTTCTGAGTTAGTTGTAGAACTATTGATGCACGAGTTATCATTGTGATGTAGAAGGATGTCAATGTACTGACTGAAGGATATGAAGTGAATTGAATTTCATTGAATTTCAATTTGATCAAAATTTGTTGAAATGATATGAATGTGTCAACATCTGTATCACTCTCTTTCACTCCTTCCCTATTCTTTCGAGAACGAAGCTAGCTCAGCTTTCGCTGAGCGAATTGACACTTTTGATGCCCTAAACGTACATGCTCTCAAATTTATCGAAAAAAATTATACCACCTAAACTAGTATATTCTTATTTTAAATATGATATTATCCTTAGAATCCACACCAGAATATATTTAAATCAACTTTTAAAAAAGTTCGAATCCTGCGCGTCTCACTTTTTAAATTTTCGAAAAGGAAAATTATATTCTCCTAAAATGAAAACAATTTTCCGAATTAAAAAAAAAAAAAAAAAGGTATTGGGGCTTCCAGGCGCGTTGCGCCCTCTAGCCCCGAAGATGTTTAGTATAAAACCGCTTTTTAACTTCACTTAAAATGCCACGTAAGCTACGTAAGAATATACGTAAGAGGAAGAGAGCATTGAAACATCCAATAGTAAGACTAACACCACAACAACAGTTGCAACAACAAATGCTGAATGACCCCACTATGTTGCAACAAATGTCAAGCAATCCTATGCTTTTAAACCGAGTTGTTGGTGCACAGAGTGGAGGTTTAAGAGCGGCACTTTTAGCGAAAATGGCAGGCTATGGTGGAGCTGCAGACGGAACAGCCTATAACCCTCAAAGTCAAATGAATTTGAGTTCACTCAAAAATCAAATAGCAGATGTCAAAAAGTCAAACATAGACATACAGAAGCAAATAGGTGAAAACGAAAAGAAACTAGAATATGACAGACACACAAAGAAACTCAATGAGTTAAACGTAGAGAAAAAGAAGAAAGAAGAACAACTGAAAGAACTAAGTACAGAGGAATATGCGAAAAAAAGTGTCAGAAAAAGCAGCAGAAGTAGCAAAAATGGAACAAGATGTCATAAATTTGAAAAACCATACTACTCGATATAAAGTACTGAAAGATGAAGAGATAAAACAAAAAGCCCTGAAGACATATATGGATAGCGATGAGTATAAAAAGGAAGTTGAAGCAAATGTAAAGGCAGAAAAACTTTTACAGTTGCAGAACCAAACCGTACAGTATGAAAACTTAGCACAAGAAAGTAAAAATAACGACGCGGCTATGCAAAAGGCAATGAAAAGCGCGGAATATATAAAAGCTAACAATGACTGGTTAGATGCCCAAGCCAACGCTAAAGCAGCCCAACTCATAGGGTCAATAAGGACAAAAATACAAGCGGATGAAGACAGTTCAAATGAAGCTTTAACAAATGCTGACTTTAAGAACGCCTTCGAAGCTCTTCATAGTAAGGTGAAACAAGTGAACGACTTCTCATCTGGAAAGAAACTGAAGTCTGAAGGTTTCGACAAAGAGTTAAAAGAAGTAGCACAAAATATGACGAAAATAACAGATGCAGCAACGAGACAGGCAGTTCAAAGTGCCTATGACGCCGTTAGAGCAACTGTTGTGGAAAGTCAAGAAAAAGAGTTACAACAGACCAAAACAGACCTAGTAAATGCTTTCTTAAGAACGAAAAGTCAGGTAGGACATTACGCTGCAGATGGAACATATGTGCCAGCTGGTGGAACTTATATACTAGCTAGTGGAACTTATATACCAGCTGGTGGAACTTATATACTAGCTAGTGGAACTTATATACCACCAAACCCTCCAAGAGAAGCACCTGCACCAGGACTACCTAAAACATTTACATCGTCACATGGACACAGACACAGGCATGCACCAAAACCAACACAACAACCAACAGTTCAAAACCCTGCACAACAACCACCTCCACAACCAACACAACAACCAACAGTTCAAAACCCTGCACAACAACCACCTCCACAACCAGAGCAAGGACATAAAAGAAGTAGAGAACAAGGAAACCAAGAATTCTTAAAAAGGCTTAAGGAAGACTATGGTTACCCAGATAGTATTGACTTTAGTGACAGATATAAAGAAGCTATTAGAAAGTTCAAGGATGGAAATACTGACCCGGACCTATTTAGCTTTATGGCTCAGCACCAAAACGGATATAAATTCAAACCTGGAAAATACAAGCTCGCTAAGGGATATGATTTAATAGCATATCATCCAAATGACATGAACGAATTTACTCCGAGATATTTGATGTCAGAGCTAAATGACAATTCAACTCCCGTCATGAAACGCGTAAAAAATAGAGACGGAACGAAAGAAGAAAGGTTTATGAGTCCGGATGACTTAGATAGGGAAATTGTTGAAAACGGTCTCGGAATATATGAAATGCCAGCAGATGAGGTACAAGAAACTCCACAGGAAGAACTAGTTCAGATACAACCAGACATGGAAGAAATAGTTCAGCAACAACAGCTAGAAGAGCCTGAAGGAAACGAACAAGTCCCTCCTTTGGAAACTAACTTCACAGAACTAGATGAAGATTTGGAACAGCCGAAAAATCTTGACCCTCAACAAGAGTATGCGGAGAATATGGAATATTTCCAAGAGTCTAAAAAAAATTCGGCTGACATAGTAGAAGAATATCGAAAAATGTTTGCCGACATACAAAAGACTCCAACATCAGATGAAAATATTCAGCATAGAATGGAAGAACTGAAAGAAAGTGTACGCAAATACAACAACCCTTTTTACTTACGAGCATTTAACGTTCAATCTTTGGATGAACTCGGTGAAAATAAAAGGTTAAATTTCAAGAAAACATATAGAAATGAAACATTGTTTAAAGTTCATTCAGAACCTAGCCAAGATGGAAACAAACCTACTTTTGTTTCTGCAGACGATGGAACTACAATGAGATGGGGTCATAAAGCTAACCCGGATAGGTGGTTCATAAACTTACAACCTCAATTCCAAGAAGTTGTAGACGCAATGGAAGTCAATGGTGAACGAGACATAGCTGGTATTTTCAGCGCGGCTTTAATGCCATTGAAAGATATGAAAGATGCAGATATTTTGAACCAGTATGAAATGAACATGGCTGATGGAAATATAACACCTGACGTTCTAGAACATTTATCTCAAAGAACTACACAGAACCATAGAGATGGTATATTTGGTGAAGAGTTTAGAAAGAAAGTTATGGACAGAGAAGGAAGAGAACCTATTGTACATGACCTTGCAAACGAAAGTTTACAAAATGTCATAAAAACTTACTTTGCAGACAATGAACCGAGAAGGGATGAATATTTAAGAAAACTCAAATGGACAGTACCAAATGAAATGTTAGTATTGAAAAACATGTTCCTTGACAAAATAAAACCAACTACAGAAATAAACGACGCAAGACTGAAAGATTGGGTAAAAGCTTTCCCATTCACAAAAGATATAATTGGTAACATGGAAAGAAAACCAGAATGGCTACAAAAACATATATTTGGAAACGAGCTTATTCCATATGGACAGGCACTGTTTGAAGAGCTTGAACCGGAAACTCAGGACAGAGTCATGCAAACAATACGCAAAGACTCAAATACAAACTATGACAAACTCTTTCTAGGATATAGGTTACCTGAGATGGGCGACCAGAGCCCAAAGGCAAAAAGGACATGGGAAATTTACAACATACTAGGTGAACATGAGGCAAAGATGCAACAACTTGAAGCAGAGGGCAAGTTACCAAAGCGACACCAAAGAAGAAGAGTAGAACAAAGTGAAAGTAGTGAAGAAGTAACTTCATCTAGTGAAAGTAGTGGCAATGAAGGAAAAAGAAGAGTTAAAAACTCAGTCAGGAAGAAAGTAAAGCTTGGTCCACGTGGGTTCTATTATGACAAATAAATCCAACTATTCTATATTTTTACCCATATGAAATGTACGCCGCTCAGAATATAACGCCAACAGTTTTGGATGCTATGAATGGAAATGTTTCCGAATGGTATAACGAATGCGACAATGCCATTAGAAGGTCAGAAATAGTTCCTGGAACTTACGAATATACAACTGCTGTTTCTTATGGAAATGTAGGTGAGTTTGGAGAAGGTTCTTCAACAACAGTAGATATTGCTTGCGACAGGTTTCATATAATTTCTATTGACAACTCTTTCTTATACGTGGAACAAGACATTGAAATAAAACCTTCTGCCAAGTTGTCTGACAAGAAAGGTTGCAATGGAATTTTCTATGTCGGATACCAATATGCTCCAGAAGTTTTCATGGGATATAAGATATATTCTAACTCTGACTTAGTTCAAACAGTAACATGGGCAAACTATGAATGGTTCGCTTTGAGAAACTCAGTACAACCACAAGCTAGAGAACAAACAGACCAGTATGCAACTATTGAGAAAATAAGAAGACTTGACCCTAACGTTCCAGGAGTTTATGTTGACCTTTCTGGACAAACTGCAGCAGCAGTAACCAAAGTAAAATTGAAACTTAGAGTTCCTTTGTCATCTTTCCTCATCTTCAGGTTTTTAAGATACTTGCCAAACTGGGCAGGAAAAATTTCTATCGAACTTACTCCAAGCAAAAATAACTTAGTCATTGCACCAACGCAAGACCCATTCAGCATTGCTGTAGCTGGAACTGGTGGAGCCAAGTTCTGTGACTTTTGCAAAGACAAAGTTGACTTAGACTTTGGTTTCTCAAACCTCAACACTGAAGTAAACTACTACTTCAATGCTGCTGGAACTGCTTGGGACCCAGTTAAGTTCACATGCGAAAAGTTTGAATGCAAGAGAATAGAAAGCAGACTTGCAGTCTATATGTTGGACCCAGATATTTCAAATGCTTTAGCTGCCAAATATATTGCAGTTCCACTTATGTTCCCTATACACCAAATATCTGTCAAAGACTTTGCAGGTGAAGTTGGAAACCAAAGTGCTGACCCAGGTGCAAGAACAGATATTGCCTTAACAACTGCAATGAAACATGCAGATACTATGTTTGTACTGTTCAGACGAACTATAAATGACTATTCTTGTTTCTACAACCCCGGTATTAAATATCATATAAACATAGATGGCAAATATTATCCAAGAGAAGAATATTCCACAGTTGAGGATATGAGGTCATACAACTTGACATTAGATGCTATGAACTTTAACAACAACTTCACAACAACCATTAACCCTGAAATGCAAAGTTCTATTATGCCATATGTGAAAGTATGGACCATACAGGAGCTCAAAACACTCAATATACAAATGGAGACCGTTCAAACTTTTGGCTTGGCATTCCATTTGCTGACTCAGAAGACTTTATGGGTGGTATTTCAACTGTTGGTACAGTTCAAATACAATATACTGGTGACAGAGACGGTCCAAATGAATTGAAAGCAAAGAAGTTTACAAAACCAATAGCACTTTTCACGGAAGATGCTCTTTTGAAGATTCGTTCGATGAAACCTGCTGGGGCTCCTCAGATTGGTATAACGACAGCTTCCATCGAGCAGATTTTGGCAGCAGGTCAGTAAGTTGTTCTTGAACTGACTTCTCTCCGTCAAATATTGACAGTACGCCAGTTTTGATATAGTATTGTATTAAAAACTTACCTTTAGAAATATCGGTCAGTTTTGTTGTTATATTTTTGTCTGCTTCAAGAACTTTCACCATCTCGGTTATACCAACTTTCTTTGCTTTATGAAAATATTTTGGTTCAGCAAAGACTGCTATTCTATAACATTTTCCATTGTTTGTGTAAAGAACTATTCTATCAATGAACTTGTATTGTTTGTGTGTGTAAACTTTGTTTTGCTTCAATTCGAAGAGATACTCAAATACGTCCATCTTTTTATTCTAAGTAAAATGTCATTTCCGAAAAATAGAAGCGTAAGTGTTTCAAAAGGTTTAATGGCGGTGGCAGACGTAAAGTTAAATTCACCAACTCAAACAAACAGTCAAAGTGTTGTTGTCAATGTCAAAGAAAGAGATGTTGAAGTGGGGAAACCATACGAAGACGAAGATGGTATAACAATAGTTCCTGTAAAAGAACCAACATACCCTGAAGTTAGCAGAGACTTAAGTTCTGTTGCAGATATTCGAAACGACTACCAACAACTTAAAGACAAACTTAAAACTCAGGAGAAGATTTGTCAAGCTTTGGGTATAATGTTAAACTTGGTCGAACACAACCCTGTAAAAGTGAACTCATATGTCATCGCACCTCATGAAATTTTGAAAGAACTATTGAAACTTTTGACAGAGGCAGACGATATAAACATCAAAGAAATAGAACCCGACATTGCTTGCTGTGGTGTTTCATACAATGTCATTGACAAGATATACGTTATGAAAGGAGGTGAAACGTTGAACTTAAAATATAGTTTCCCAGACGTCATAAAAATATTTGACGACCACAACATTTCATTAAAATTTACTTGCTAAGTAAAAATGTCAAAACTTCTTGAAAGATGTTTGAAGAAAAACAATATAGACTTTATTTCATGTAAAGGACTTTACACACTTTTGAACGATATGAAAGACCCTGTTTTGTTTGTTCGTGTAGACAAAGGAAAGTTCTATGTCTTTACAAAATATTTGAACTTCTTAGACAGAGAACTTCAAGAAACGCCATGTGAAAGTTTAGATGAAGTTCTTCTCCACTTTCAGAAAAACTTTTAAATATATGTAAATGGCAGAAGACATAGTGGTTTATACTATTACGACTAAAAACCCTGAGTCATATAATTCTATAACAACAAACTTACAAAGTCCTCAAGGACGGTATTGTAAACTGACCTTAAACACGATGACGACTAAAGCCTGTTTTGCTCTTTTGACACCAGAAGACTTTGTTGTTGTGAATGGTAAAAAATACTCCTTTGAAGATACTTACTCAGATATACCACCAACAGGTTTTGTTGACTTATTTAATACTTTAAGGACGGATGTAACATGTGCTGCAACTAGAGCAGGTTTCATTATGTTTGGATGTCCGACTGAGTTTAGTATAAACGATATGAGCTATAATACAAAACTTATATCTGGTTTTTACTACCAACAGTTTCCTATAACAGGAAAAGGTGTCATACAAGGTCTATCTGTTCCATTGACTTTAAGTACACCTATTTTATATATTGTTTCAAACTTAGGTTCAAAGTGCTATTCGAATGTCGACAGAAACTACTATGACCAAAAGATACTCATGCGTATAAACAACACTTTCTCTGCTGGTTTGCCTATTGTTCATTCGAATGCAGAGTTTTCAGCTTTAGTGAACTCAAACACTTTAGCAAACATAAACTTAACCTTAGTTGACGCAAACTTTGTTCCTGTAAAACTTTTATGTCCTATGTATTTGTCAATGACGGCAGAAAGTTTCGAATTGGAAGATGCAACTGGTGAAAGTATTGTACTACAAGAACAACTTCAACAACAAATAGCTCAAGAACAACAAATGCAACAAATGGAACAAATGCAACAACAAAGTCAAGAACAACAAATAGCTCAAGAATAAAAAAAATATTTTTTTTTTATTTTTATAAAAAATGTACAGAATAGACGTTTCAGATTTTTATGACTTCCAAGCCTTCAGAAATATGTGTCCATTTAGAGACTATAACAAAGCAGTCGAGAATTTGAAACGTTTAGTCATTTATGTTGACTCTGCCCCAGAATGTTATGTCATGAAAGAATGGGATGTTGTCTTTAACAAACCTAAAGCGACAATAGTTTCAGAACAAGAATGTAAACAGAAACTTAAGAAAATAAAAGTCGTACAAGTTGGCATGAAGATGTTAGATGCTTGGGATATCTTATTGTCAAAACTTGAAGATTTTTCAGTTCGTGGTATAAAGTTCTATACACCATCTCCAAACTTCTATTCTATCTTCACTGGATATAAATACGAACAAGTAGAATGGAAAGAAAATGTTATAGAAGCTTGGTTAGACCATGTCAAAGAAATTATATGCAATGGAAACGAAAGAGTCTATGAGTATATCTTATGTTGGTTTGCAAACATCTTACAACATCCAAGTGCTAAAAATGAAACTGCTCTCATCATAATTGGAAAACAAGGAACAGGTAAGAACACTTTCTTTACAGATATCTTATGCAAACTGTTAGAAGGCTATTCGAACCCGAATATGACAAACTTAGAAAACATCTGCGGTAAATTTAACTCTTCAATAGAGAATATGAAACTTATAGTATGTAACGAACTTCAAAGTATAGATACAACAAAAGTTTTGAACTCAGATGCTTTGAAGAGTCTTATAACAGACAAAGTTGGAGTTGTTGAAAGAAAATATAAAGACCAAAGAGTTTGTGAAAATGTTGCAAACTTCGTCATGGTTTCAAACAATGCCGTTCCGATGAAGTTAGAAAGTTCTGACAGAAGATATGTAGTTGTCAGAACGTCAGAAGCTCATATGCAAGATACAGAATATTTTGACGACTTAGCAGAAACTTTAACACCTAACTTTTACAACCACTTGTTCTCATATTTCATGACATTAGATATTTCAAAGTTCAATCCAAGACAAATTCCACATACCGAAGAGAGACAAACATTGTTAGAAGCAAACAAGAGTGTATATGAACTGTTCATAGATGAAACTGACTTTGAGTGTTTAGATGAAAGGTCATTGTACGATTCGTATAAACAGTATTGTCAAGAATATGGTTATATGACAGCGTCTAAACGAACATTCTTGGCAAATGTCAAAAGTCTTTTAGACGTACAGAATGGTATATATACAAAGAAAAATTTTTCTGAGTAAATTTTAAAAAAAATATTTTTTTTTATCCGATAGAAAAGATGACGAAATTCATCTCAGTAAACAAGTACATGTCAGGACTTAAAGAAGAACTAGACCCATTCACATATTTGAATGTTTACTTCTACCATTTTGAAAAGTCTTCATTTGACAAAGTTTGGAACATCGAACCAGTTAAGTTTGCTATTGTGACTAAAAATGGTGCGAAATTTGAAGACTTAGACATAGAAGGTTTGTTAACAGTCAAAGAAAGTTTTGACAGAAGGTTTTCAAACCTTAAAGAAGGCAAAGCATACAAACTTGTTATACCTTATGAACCAAAGAAAGCAGACGACTATGAATATTATGAGTCTAAAGTTGTAGAAGTTCAAGGTAAATTGGGTAAAAAGATTTTAGAGTCTAAGCCAGTGTTTGCTCCTAAAGAGGAAGAGAACATTGACATTGACCCAGAAATGTTCTAAAAATAAAATTTTATTTTTACATGTCATATCTCCCCTTCTCTGGCTCTGGTTCTTTCTTCTCTTCTTCTACTTTCTTTTCTTTCTTTTCTCTCTTCTTCTTTTCTGGTGGAGTTATGTCAAACTTCTCAGAACCATATTTTTGTAAAAGTTCTTTGTCCTTTAATAGCTCTTCTATTCTGTTTTCTATTTCATTTTCAAGAACAGCGCATGTGTCTTCTTTGCATTCTAAGAAGTTTTGTTGGACTTCATCTCTCCAAGAGGCGTCATCTCTGTCAACAAGTCTGTCATTGACAAATTTTAAGACTTCTCTGCTTAAGGTTTTATGGTTCTTGTCATATTCCCAGAAACAGAACTTTAGAACAAATTCACCTTTCTTGTTTACACTATGTAAGATTTTATGGTCGACAGATGTTTTGCTGTCGAAAAGCTTGTCTCGAATATAGATAGCGAAATCGCTAGACATTTCCTAAAAGATAAAAATTTTAATTTTTCTAAAAATATGTTAGAAAAAAAGTTTGCTGACATTGACAAAAAATTTGAGAATGTTTTAAATAAGAACAAGAGGAAGTTAGAAAATGCTCAGATAAAACCCATACATGACAAGTTCTTATTTGCTCAGAATGGTATAACAGGTCTAATCGCACCACCTGGGTCGGGCAAGACTTTCACTTATCTTAAAATGGCTGCACAACAACAAGAACTAGATGAGAAAACCCATTCTATGAGTTAGTAGTCATTTGTAGTACTTCTGGTCAATTTGACCAAACCGTCAATTCGTTCAAAGATATTATAAAAAAGTCTAAGTTAGTATGTATAAAAGACTCTGAGTTGTTAGATTGGATAAAGAAGTACCAAAGAAGAGTTTTGAAGTACAATGCTATAAATGAGTATGTCAATTCTAAGTTTAAAGACCAAATGAGGAAATGCAGAGAATATTAGAGAAGAAACACTTCAGAAACAAACAGAAAGAGATAGAATACATTTCGAAGAAATTGCAATCTTACGATTGGAAGACTTACCCTCACAGATGTCTTCTTATCTTAGATGACTTTGCTTCTCATCCTTTGTTAAAGAACAGAGAACAAGACATGTGTCGAATTCTTAAGAAGCTCAGACACTTTAACATCTCAGTTGTCATTTGTGTACAGACAGCCAAGAGTTTAAGTAAGGATGTAAAGAGAATACTTACTGATATCATACTTTTCCCCGGATTGTCCGAAGACGATTTCATGGAACTTATGAAAGAGTCCATGGCAGGTAAGTTTGACAGACATGAACTATGGGAGAAGTACAAAGTCATACAAGACCCTCATACTTCTTTCAGAATTCATATCTACGCGAACAAAGTTCAAATTGTAAAAAGTCAAGCGTAAAAATGTAAGTGTTTTAGTCTTAGTCTGTTGTGGTGCTGGGGCTGTCGGTTCTTCTGGCTTTGGAATGGACTCGGTTGGTGGAACGTCGGACATTGTCTTGAAACAATAAAAGACTTGTCTTGAAAAAGTAAAAGACTTGTCTTGAAACAATAAAAGACTTGTCTTGAAAAAGTAAAAGACTTGTCTTGAAAAAGTAAAAGACTTGTCTTGAAAAAGTAAAAGACTTGTCTTGAAAAAGTAAAAGACTTGTCTTGAAAAAGTAAAAGACTTGTCTTGAAAAAGTACGGGTATCGTCTTCAATCAAGACCACTGTTCTCAAATTTGAGAACTTTACACCAAAAAATTTCTTGAAAAATAACGGGTCTTGTCTTGAAAAAGTAAAAGACTTGTCTTGAAAAAGTAAAAGACTTGTCTTGAAAAAGTAAAAGACTTGTCTTGAAAAAGTAAAAGACTTGTCTTGAAACAATAAAAGACTTGTCTTGAAAAAGTAAAAGACTTGTCTTGAAACAATGACCGACATAGACCCAGCAGATGAGGCAATCTACCTTATAGAGATAAATGAGCTAGTTAGGAACTACCTGAGCCATCTTTGGTGTCAAGCTTGAAAAATAAACGCTTTACATGTATTTTTCAGCAACTTCGTCAAATAATTTTATAGCTTTGTCGATCTCATCTACTTCAAACGTTTCTTTACCTCTCGTGGGAGCACCATACATTTTCTCAAACTTTTCAAGTAGTTCTGTTTCAGCAGCTCTCATATCGTTAACAAACGCAACCTTAACTCTATTGACTGTACTGTCATATCTTTGAGTTATATTAAATGTTCTTCCTATCTTATATCTCTTTGTATTGAAGTCCTTCGGTTTCTGAACGATGTAAAGTAAGCCCTCACTGCAACGTTCAGTATCGAATGAACCATATGTTATGAAATTATATCCAACAACTGGGTCAATCCATAACAAAACTATTGGTATAAGACTTTTGTCAATGAGATATGCTGTAGTTCCATAGAATCTTACCGATATCATAAGCTCAGGATTTCTTGTCAAAATTTTCTGAGTAGAAGCAATTCTAACCCAGTCGCTTGCTCTCTTTCCAGATGGAGATATAATGTCTGACAAAGAATATTTTTTGTATTTCTTTGAGTATCTTACGTTTAAATCACCTATTCTAACCACCTTGATCTCATTGTCTATCTTTTTAACTGTTTCAAACTCAGTGCTTGTCATTTCCTGTTCTTACATACAAAATAAAAAAAAATATTTTAAAAAAACTAGCGTTAATTTTATTTTTTCATCTTGTATAAAAGATATGATTTCATAGAGTTTTTTTACGATTTTCATGAGTTTTATGCAAGGCCGGAAAAAGTCGGTCTAGAGAAATTTCACGATTTTCATGAGTTTTTTTTACGATTTTCGAATGGAATCTCGACCCCTGTAAAAATCGGGGTAGCATTTTTTCACTGATTTCATAGAGTTTTTTTACGATTTTCATGAGTTTTAGGCGAGTAAGATTTTTAACGTACTCGCATTTTTTCACTGATTTCATAGAGTTTTTTTACGATTTTCATGTGTTTTAGGCTAGGCCGGAAAAAGTCGGTCTAGAGAAATTTCACGATTTTCATGAGTTTTTTTTTACGATTTTCGAATGGAATCTCTATCCTCGGTTTTCCTTGGGTAGCAAACATATGAGGAAATTCATGAAATTTGGTCATTTTTTTACGATTTCAGGGATTTTTTTTACGAAGTGTAAAAGTTCTCTTCGTCAAAAAAATACAGTTATATCATGAAATTTGGTCATTTTTTTCAGCAAAAATATATTTTAGGTGGAACCAGGTCCCTCGGTCCCTCGGTCCCTCGGTCAAATGAACTTCTCTGAAAAAGTGTGACAACATGACATTTTGACAACAGTCCAGGAAATAGACTTCTTCGTATATGTTTTGTTGAGACTTCAGGGATTTTTTTTACGAAGTGTCAAAGTTCTCTTCGTCACTCATAACAGTTATATAATGAAATTTGGTCATTTTACTCAGCAAAAATATATTTTAGGTGAAGAGGTGAGATCTCACCTGTTTTCTCACCTGTTTTCTCACCTCTTTTTCACAAGCGTTTTACATGAATTGTACGATGTATATTTGAAATTCTAAACAGTTTTGTAGCTTCTATTTCTTCTGTCAGTATGTCAAAAGTTTTCACAATGCCGAATGTTTCTTTATATTTCTTCTTGACGTCAGATAGAAGGAAATCGTCAGCTGTTGGATAGTTTTTGTTCAGAAATGTCAACATGTCCATTTTATCTTCTGCTGGTTTCTCTGCTTCTTTCTTTAAATCTGCATAGTCGTTTCGCATTCTTTCTATCTCTTTGACGGAGTAGTTATATTTC